AGTTTTGCTGCTGAAGGTGGATGTTGACAAACCGATACAAAACAACAACAACAACATGCCATATGAGAATATTTAACAGCAGGCATATGATAATGTTTGTTCTTAACATGATCTTCTTCTACAACTTTTACACTGCTGTCACAAAGAATATTTAAAGGGCGTTGCATAATATAAATTAAAGTGGAATACTGAATACTGTTTCATCTACTTTTTCTTGCCTTGATATTGTGGCCAGCCGAATTATTTCGCACGGTAGGCGAATTCACCCGGAGGGTGAAAGAATTCTATGTCATAGTGTCTGCTGAACCCTCATCATGGTGGACATGAGTTTACAAAGCAACTGGCAGTGTTTTTTACTTTAGGAAGCCGAAAAATGCTTTCGTCGTTTCTAGCTTCACCACATTCCCAGAGATAAAGCATGTATGGGGAATACCAGCACCACCTCCAGAGGCTACGTCTGGAAGTCTGTCACTTTCAGCTGTACTTCTATCTATCTGTCAACCAGTTCAGTGCCCTGCTGTCCTGCATTGGGGGACGAATAACTCGGACATCAGAGGGTTAGGTGAGACGGCTTTCTGGAGCTCAGACAGTAGCAGCGAGAATGCAGTGTGAGAAAACCGTCAGAGACCAGAACCAGCCTGCCAACCATTTCAGGTTCTGGAACTATGCAACCACAGTGAAATATCGGAGGTCATTCCCAGCGAATCAGCACACTAGAGCAGGGAAATGAGGATGAGCGGTAAGCCCGCTGGGAAAAGAGCAAGAGCAGGGAGAGGCTTCAGCCAGCAGGGGTCAGCAATAGAAGCTAACTGTGATTATCTAAAGCTACAGAGGAGTACAGTGGCAGATCGGACACGTTTACCGGAAAGACAGAACACTTAAGACTACAGTTGCCTGGGAGTAGGACAGTGGTACATCAGAGAAGAAGATACCACTGTCCTAAGAAGAGTAAGAAGAGTGGTATATCAGAGAAGCCAGCCAGGTGGGCAGGGCAAGGAGAGGCTATGACTGGCTGGAACTACGGAGCTGAAAGGACTACTGGAGAGGGACAATGAAGCTTACCATGCAGACATCGCATGGCGAGAAGGCAACCGTGTGCGCTGGGAGGACAAAATTAAAAGGTTTTTAAAAAGCTACCTCAAATCCCCATAAGAGCATTCCTACTTCATCCTTAGTCAAAATTATTTTTTCTGTGTTGCATTTTTAATAAAAACATTTTCATCTCTGCTACGCTCTTTCACTTTAGCTCACAGCCAAATCTAGACCCTGAATGGACTTTGCGACACGATTGTAAACAAAAGTACAGATTCTTCAACTTCATTGGCAGGTGAGGCAGCAAACGTGACCAACTTCACCAAAATGGTGTTGTTTGCCTCCCTAAATTCCCTATCACCTCACTCATTTTCGCTCTGTTCTGCTTTGCTCCAGATCTGCCATCTACACAGAGATAACATGGGAATCCTTCACTCCAGCTTTAGAATTCGCATTCATCAATCGGGTGGGGCCGATAAAATTTATCTTTGTGTTGGATCGCGCTGACAGCATCAGATGTAGACCGAAGCTAAGAGTGTTTGCTACTACGGTATAATTTCATTGCAAAGTAAATTCCCATTCTTGTTGTTGTTGTGGAGCACAATTTATCGGCCTCTGGGTTCCCTTAGAGGGTCCAGGCAACTGCCTAGTTTACCCGTCCGCAAGCCCCGTCCTTGCGTTTACATTCTTTTTAATCTTTGAGTTCTGGGGAAAGAAGCAAGCCTTGTCAAGTCAAAAGGCTCTTGTCCAAGTCAAGTCACAAGTTAATGCTGTGAAAGTCCAAGTTGAATTGCAACTGTCTTGATATTTTTTGAACTCGAGTCTAAAGTCATCAGATCAATGGATCAAATCTGACTTGAGTCCAAGTTATGTGACTGGAGTTCATACCTCTGGTAGTCTCTATTTTACTGTTCAGTTTTTAACTTTATTGTCTCTTCCTACTGTTGCCCTCTATAAGTGAAAACGGGCCTAATGTAGTCAAATCTATATTTTGGTTACAGCTTCTTTCTATATAATCTGTAAGGCGTTACAACTTCGATGAACAAACAAATGTCACCATAAAACCATCTCCCTTGGTGAGTCGGTAGTTGGAATTCCACTTCTCCCAACAACTTGGGAAGAAACACTTTGGTGAAATTGTCTGAAAAATGTATTTTAGGGCGAGTTTATGCTTTGACATTGGGGTTAGTTCTTTTTTTAAATCCAGCATCATAAAAAAAAAGAAAAAAAAAACTAAATTGTTATTTAATTAGTCTGGTTTCTGGCTTTTCTTTCTGGTATTGATGAACACTAGTTATGTGCTCCACCTGAGATACTGTACACTAAGCAGTAACAGGATAGTGATGTTGTGGATTCTTCAAAGTAAAGACTAATCTTTGGTCACTTTAAAAGCACGAACAAATCACCTGTGCAAGTTGATTTATCATAACAAGTTCCCTCTAAACAGTTTTACTCTTTGCTTCTCTATCCCTCTCCATCTTTCTGCTATGAAAGCCAGCGAACGGGTAGCTCGCAGACAGTTTGCTGTTACCATGGAATCTCAACGTGCTTCCCCTCCCACTAAAAACAATTAAGAAAAAAAACAGTTAAAAGCAAAGCAAGAGAAAGGGTATGCTGTTTAAAAAAGAAATAAGAAGGATGAAAATGTAGATGAGGAAAACGATGACAGTGGTGAAAATGATAGATTTTTAGGAATCGGGCTGAAAAAAGGTTAGTCACTGCTTTCTCCTCCTCCTCCTCCTCACATCCCACTGCCTGAGTGTTTCCACTGTTGCACATCTCGCTCCAGCGAGTTTCATGAATGACTGTTAGTCAGTGAGAAAAAGGGACTGTGGAGCAGGCTGTAGACACATAGATTGAGTCTGAAGGGCAGACTTTAGAAAAGCCTTTGTTATTGCTGGTGGGTTTTTTAATTCATGCTATTGATTTATATCAAAAACACAACCTAGAATTGAGTGCTGATTTGTAGCCTTAAATTTTCATGAGAGAGAAACCCTTCCCTCTTCTTCTTGTCCCTGTTCAACATCTAATAAGCAATGCTCATTGTAGTGGATTCTTCATTATATTACCAATGATATTATCTATACTAACTTATACTTGTTTTAATTAGGATTTTAATACTAACTAGCTCAAAAACGACTGACTCAATGGTTACAAACATGTACATTAGTCAACAGTTGGCTATACTTTTTCAAGTCTCTTTCTTCTTGCTAAACAAGGCAAGTCTATCAAACAGAAATTAGTGGATTAAATAGTAGGCTGCTCACGTAACAAACCGGAATTTGGCTTCTTTGTCACATAAGGTTTGATAACTACTGCATTTGGCCATTTATATAGTCTTTTGCTGAAAGTAGCTATTTTAATGCATAGACAGAGGTAGGAATTGGAGTTAGCAATGTCTGCATGTTTATATACATGTTGGAAGGAAAGTAATATAAGACAAGACATATATACAAGACATAATATAAGACTTACTTTATATTGTAGCAATTTAGAAATTCAGGTGGAGAAGTGGCTTGAAACAGTATATAATAGAAAAAAAAATTGCATTGCTAAAAAAAAAAGAGACCAAAGAGAGACCCCAGCCTATTTGCACAGCACACAATACAACGATATACAATATGTATAATTGTGAAATGGTATCTCAAACTACCATGTTTTTCAGACAATAAGCCGCTACTTTTTCCAAACCACCAAAGGGGAAGTCAAAGTTGGAAATCAAATAATAAGGAGTTCATTTTCACTTTGCACAAAAACATGCTAGCAGCATTCACTATGGAAAACAAATGTTCCGAATTCACACATTCACAACAAAAAATGGTACCTAAAGTATTTGCATCTAAGTGGACAGTGTCAAAGTAAATACCTATATAACATGTGGGTTGCTGTGATGACTAAAAGACTCAAAGCTGGTCTGTTCAGTCAGTTTTGGGGATTTTTGCCTTGCTACCAATCCAATTCCTCAGTGGTGGCCACATAAACTTACAGAAGGTCTTTTTTCCTGCTTTCCCTGTCAAAGTCCTACTCCGATGTTCAAGTTTTATTATTATTATTATTAATAGTTGTATTGACTTTGTTGGCCAATTCTGACTCCAGGAAATTCAAAGTGTATTAGAATGATACAGATTAACCTTAAAAGAAACAATTACCAGTATACATTTTGAAAATTAAGTTTTTCTGGAGGTTGAATTCCTATTAGTCTGACAGATTCTGCAGACATGCATGATTGCTGTAGGTGCAAAAAGAAATTTCGCAGCTCAGCTTGAATAAAGGTCCATCAGTAATTCAATTGTCTACCTTTACAATTCAAATAGTAATTAGGTTGTTGACTCTGACTGTTGTCAGCATTGTGTACCATGTTCTCAGGTACCTCAACCTCTGCAATGAGCTATTTCTGTTCATTTTTTGTTTTTGTTTATTTTCTTTCCAAAACTGTTTTTGGCACAGTGACCTTCACTCCTTAAAAAAAAGAAAGAAATAGTTTTACTCAATTGCATGTTTTTGTCTTAGACATTATTTTACAAGAACACTGAGAGAAAGACGCATCTGGCTGAGTATGTATGTAAGCTGTTTATTTAATGACTTACTGTTGGCACTGACAGTATATTAGATTGACGACGGAGCAGCAGGTGTCTGTTAGCATCTGCTGCAATTCAGTCTGCGTTAAAACAGGAAAAATTTAAACCTAGAAGGAAGCTGTTTACTGGAAATCTTTATACCTAATCACATATGCTTGTTTTATGAGTGGAATACACACATCTTATTTACAAAAATCTGACCAACCTAAAGGAAATAAAATCTGACATTTAGTTGTCACTAATTCCACACAAATTTTTCAGTTTGCAGTGTTGCTGGTTAAGATTGGTTAAGAGTGTCGTTTTTGGGTGCTAAAAAAAGAAAAAACCTAGAAAATGCATCAAATAGTTCATGTTGTATGCTTACTGTCCACTTCTGTCTGTCTCTTTCAGGTGAAGTGGGAACAGTGAAATTTCACGGCGTCGACCTCCTCCAGCACTCTCCCTCTCCTGGGGACCCCTATCCCAAACAGCCTCACTCGCTGGAGCTATTTACAGACACATCTCATCAAAACCTCCCTCTAAGGAAGACACATTCAGAGCTTGACACAACCATACCCCAAGGTGGGTAAAAATTATCTATTTATTTGTTCTAGGAACTTCCATATTAATTGATTTATTTTTACTGATTACATTAATATCCGTAATTAATCTCTGTAATTAAAGCTGTTGGTACACTGTCTGTTTATTTACATATTTATAATAATTTATAGATGCATATTTTCAGAATTGTAGAATGTTTGCAGTTGGACCCATAATGCAGAAGCGGAGGCTGCTTAGTTTTCTTGTATATTTATTGCGACAATGCCACTGGAAGGAATAATCCAAAAATAAACCAAAAACAGGAACCATTGTGAAGCGAGAAACAGGGATCAATGAAGACACTAAATAAAGATGACAAACCAGCAAAGACAAACTGCAGAGGAGGGGTGTATATATATCTATATATGTGTGTGTATATATATATATATATATATATATATATATATCTATATATGTGTGTATATATATATATATATATATATATATATATATATGTGTGTATATATATATATATATATATATATATATATATATATGTGTGTATATATATATATATATATATATATATATATATATATATATATATATATATATATATATATATGTGTACAAGCCCCACACTCCCGCAGACTGCCATTGTGGGTCTCTGAGCAAGCCCCTTATAGCCCGATTGCTCCCTGGACGCCCCACGATTGCAGCCCACTGCTCCCAAAGGGGATGGGTTAAATGCAGAGGTAAATTTCTCCACTCTGAGATCAATAAAATTAAACTACTGTTGTATGCAAACCTAGGCATAAAAAAAAAAAAAAAAAAAAAAAAAAAAAAAAAAATCCAAAAACCATATCAATCTCTATCTCCCACCAGTGAGAAGATGCAATTTCAAAGTTTTGCAAAATGATATATTCCAGCGTACTTGTGACTTTTTAAATAATTGCTTATGTTTTGTGGTAAGAAAACAAATTATCAAAATTTATGTTATTTGTTTAATGTTGATTATTTTTATTGCTATTTTATTGGCTTGGAGCAGTAATAATATTTTCAAATGTTTAAGCAGTAAGTATTCTAAAGCCCCAGCAGCGTTGTGTAAAGTATGCATATTCAATTAGCTTTTAGATTAAATGTTTGCTTGTAAGTCAAAATCTACAAAAGCATTGATGATTATGCCTTTTTTTTTTGGACAGTTTTCAAAAAAAAAAAAAAAAAAAAGGTGTATAAAGGTGTTTTCTATGAAAATTATGAAATTTCTTTAGGGGAGTTAAAGAGAGTAAAAACAATATTTTTTAATTCCCCTTATTCTTGACAATAAACTACTTGTGGTAACAGGTAACAGACTTCATGCTTCTTTGTTTCTAATCCCCCCCTTACAGATAACAGCTTGGGGCAACGTGCCTCAGAGCAGTTTTATTCAGGAGCTATGGACCACTCTGGGTTGCTGTGCTCTAACACACCCACATCTTCTTGGAATGGACCTAAAGGATCAACATTTTCTCCTGCTGCCTGGAATGAGACTTACAATTACAATATGAGCAAAGGTCCAGCAGTCCCTCCCAAGCATCACAGCGTCATTGGTCATGCTGATGGGATGCAGGACGGGGTCATGCTGGTGAACTCAGGACAGTCTGTGAGCTCACATTCTAGTTCATTCACATGTGTGACAGACACTTCTGGGAGAACAGGAAATATTGGGTCCGGGATCATGCCTTCTGTAGTCACAATTGGAAATCGGAGGGAAACTGAGGGCGCACCTGCAGATGGAGGGCGAGGAGGTGGTCATGAACCAGGACGAGGAAGGCAGAGGTCAGCACGATCCATAGCCGCACAGAATGCCTTCAAGTTCCGGGAACGTTCCCTTTCTACGCCCACTGATTCTGGCTCCTTTTGCTTTACAGAAGGTGGGATAGAGCCAGACTTGACTATCACCACTACTGGGAATGGGAACACTATGGTAACGGACCACTATCAAGAGCATCACAACTATCTGGGTTATGGGGAGAACTATGCCCTTCTTTACCCTAGAGGAAGTTCTGAAGACAGTACAAGCACTGCGGACACTGTCTCAGTCACAGCTTCAGATTACAGCGCAGAAGGACGCTTACGTCTTCGCTCTCGTTCCATCTCACTTAAAAAATCCAAGCGCAAGCCCCCACCTCCTGTGAGAAGTGTTTCCTTAATGAAAAACCTGGGAGAAGCTGAGGGCAGAATAAGGCATGGTGGTGGTCTTTACCGAGATGGTAGGCCAAAGAGCCTGCACATACCTAGGGACAATTTTCCAGACTTCCAGCCAGATTTCCTTTTGACAAGCTCATCTTGCTCATCTAAAGCCAGTGTTGATGAAAGGGAGATAGGCCAAGGGGGCAACAATGGACCACCAAGTCTGGAAGTCCAGGCTCCGGAAAGGGAAGGGGAAACAGAGATGAACTTCCCAACTCACTGGCAGTTGGGAGAGTGGAAGAGCAATGACCCCTACAGGTATAAAACCATAGATAGTTTTGTTGATGTACTTCATTTTATAGATGTCACACAGTAAAATGGCTGTCTTTCATTCTTCCCTCTGCTTGTCTTCCACAGGTCTTTATCGGGCTCCAGCACAGCAACAGGTACCACAGTGATTGAATGTATGAAAGTCAGGAGTAGCTCAGAGTCCCTTCTAGACTCTCCCTCCACTTCCAGAGCCACGTCTCCTTCACAGTTATCAATGGAGACTGATGTTAAGGCTTCTTCGCCCTTAAAACCTCCAGGACTTATATCGCCATCAAGCGGCTATTCTAGTCAGTCAGAGACTCCAACTTCGACAGTTCCAGTAAATCAGGGGACCGTAGGGACAACAGGATGTAAGATGCGTCCAAAGATCCCGGAAAGGAAATCATCCTTACCATCCCCTAAGGACCCCGCTGCAAGGTCAAGGTTGTCATTTGAAATGCCTGGAAATGCACATTTAGAGTTGTCATCACTAAAACCAAAGCAAAGGGCCAGTAGGCGGCATTCGGATACTTCTACTGCTGCCAAACCAGGAAAAAATAGCCCCAATTCTTCACAGGCATTACCCGTAGTTACCCAGAATGAGCTAAAGACCATTAGACTCCGGTCTGTTTCCAGAGGAGACTTGGAGCACTCTCCTGATGGAGCCTCTGACACAATCGAAGAAGAGCAGCATGGCAGAGACATCAGCGATGGCCCGAGCCCACCTCCAACTCTACCAAAGCCTAAGCCACCAGTTGCAGTCAAGCCTCCATTGCCCAAACGGCCCATAAACCTCCTCATTAAGTCTCCTTCCCCTTCCTCTACCTCCCCCCTTGGCATCGAATCTCCTCCTGCCTCACCTGTGGAACGTCCAGTACCTCTTGGCAACATATACAAAGTAATGAAAAAGCCCAAACCGAAAAAGCCCCCACCACAAACTGCCACAAGTCCTGCTGCTGTGACAGATTCCGCCAATGTACAGATCAATACCTATGATCACACATTCCTTTCTCACTCGCAGTCTCTATTTGACCTCCCACCACTCCCAGATCCCCAGCCTTTGTTGGAAGATCCAACGCTGGAACCTGAATTTGAAAGAGAATCAGATATCCATCTAGGACCAGGGGATGGAGGATCACTCCCTTCTCCATGCAGTTCCCAGGAGGCCCCTGAGCTCCAAGACAAGAGCAAGACACTACCTTCAAGGATGACAATCTCCTGTCTTGCAGAGCTTTCTGACAAAAAGAAACCCAAGGTGAGTAGGATATAATTTGCTCTTATTCAAAGGCGGGTAGATCACCTAGTGTCAAACAAAATTAACAATCACAATTTCTGCTACACTTTTCAGGTTCCTCCTCCAGTTCCCAAGAAACCAAATGTTCTACTCCTTCCAACACCACATCATTCTTCCACCAACGGAAGCACAGATAGGCAGATTACACAATCTGAAAGCCCTGTGGGTCTCAGTTCTCCCGGTGGAGCATTTGCAACGGATGATATTCTGGATAGTTCTGGTGTTCCTGATATGTCTGAGAAAGATGAAAACCATTTGGAAACAGATGAGGAAAGTTCAAAAGAGTCTTCTTTGCAATCATCACTCCATGATTCCTCTCTCACTGAACTTGGAGAAAAGATGGGCAGCACCGGGATTGGAGAAGGTATTTCTGTAGGAGCAGCTTGCTTTAGAGCTTATAATGGTCTATTCAGGACGACAGTGGAGTAGGATGCAGGATTGTACCGTGCAACCAAAGGGTTGCAATTTAACCCCCACCTCTGGCTTTCAGTGTCGTTGTGTCTTTGGTGGTCAAAAGGCTTGGTGGTGTATGGCAGCCTTGCTCCTGTCAGTGAGCCCCAAGGCAGCTATGGCTACAATATAGCTTGCCATTATAAGTGTGTGTGTTAATTGGTGACTTGAAAAAAGCACTCTATAAGTACACGCTATTTAACATTCAAAATTTAACCAAGGATTTTGATTTCAAATCATATAACCTGGACCTTATGGAATAGTTCCAAGAAAACCATTGTGGAAAGAAAGAAATATGTTCTATTTACAGTTATCCCAAGCAGAGTAAATCGGTGAAAAAATGCCCTACAAAAACTGTAAGTCAGTTTTTCTTAAAATAAGTACATTTTGTCTTAAATTGAGCAGGTAAGTGAAACATTTTACCAATGAAACAAGACAATTTACATTTAAACTAAGAAAAAACAATTGCATTGTCTTATTTCAAGTGCATATTATCTAATTATCTTATTTTAAAAATAAAAAGACTCATTTTAATGGCAATCATTTTATTTACCTACTCAAATTAAGGGTAAATACACTTAATTTAAGAAATTTTAATCCATTTCTAGATAATTTTTGCGCTGTGTACATTCTTCAGATAAGGTCCCCATTAAAATAGACCAAAATGAAAGTGATAATAGTCTATAGGCAGAGAGTTTTATATTTACCTAGCTTTTATTTCTTTACCTCAAAACTGAAGACACAATTGCAACATATGTTCTGATATAATTTAAATATTGTATATACAATATAGGACAAGGAAGTATCTAATGGAAATCTGAAGACATTGTGACAGATTAGAACCAAAAGCATAAGGAAGATGCTTTGTTGAAATAATATAATGAAAATCTAGTTTACTTCTTGAATTCCTTTCCTACCAATGGTTCTTTAGTTTTAAACACTCTTCTTACCATTTTAAGGGATTGTATCAATACATTTTTGCAGCAATACGTCTGCTTTTTAAAATTATCCCTGTAAAGATAATTATCTTGTAATTTTTGTGCAAAACCTCTTGATTGATGTTGATACTGAGGCTCCCTAGTTTTAAAACCAGTGTAAATAAACACAGGCTAACGCTCTCTTCTCGTTTGGTTATAGTAATGTCTATATCATGCAGTTATCTAATTTTCTGTTTAACCTAGTCGCACACTATGAAAATTACATTTCTAAAAAGGTTAATCCTTGAGCTGTGTTTTAATGTGAGTTCTTTGCAATCATCAGAGGATTCAGCTGGCGATGAGAAGACTGCTCTCCAGATTACTGAGGAAACAGAAGATGACTTGTTGGCCAGTACTCCTACGACACACACCACAGAGGACTTGTTTACCATCATACACAGGTTTGGACACATACACACAGACAAACTTCCTCTAAAAGGATTAGCATTAGCTTTTTAAAACCCAAAGGTCTGAGAACTGAGTTCCCTAGCAACGGCTCCATGTACAGAGCTGACCAGAAATTCTTACTTTGTCCTCGTTCCTCTCTCTTGCACAGAAACATTTATAGATGAAGGCACACAAAGACAAGTATAAGAGAGCTAGTCTCTAAGCAACAGCTGTTAATAATTTCATATGTTTTGCTGCTTTAAGAGCTGAAAAGAAATTTATGTTTTCATCAAAACAACAGAGGAAGTAGTCTGAAACCTTCTCCTACATCAAAGTTGCCAGCAATTGAGCAATGCTTGAGGTTGATGAGATATTCTCCAACCATTTGAATTTATATGACTCTCTTCCAGGTCCAAGCGAAAGGTCCTGGGCCGAAAGGAGCCGTCAGATTCTTTTGGTAGCCGCCAGAGCCTGGTATCCCCTGTGAAGCACAGCGTCAGCGGAAATGACCATCGGAATCTAACTTTGGGGAGCAGCCAGAGGTCGAGCTCTCGTAACGAGAACTTCATGGCCCTGCTTCAGAAGAAAGGCAACAAGTCTTCCAGTGGAGGAGCGAGAGTTTCTGCAATGGAGCTCCTGAAGAGCACAAATCCTCTAGCCCGACGTGTCACAGAGTTCTCAAACAGCACCGTATCATCTACCGACGGAGGGGAGATGCCACCTGGGAATGAGAAAGCCAATGATCAGTGAACGGTGTTACGGTTTCCAGATGTTAATCTGGACTGGTTCCTGTTTACTACAACACAAAACAACTCTACAATCTGCCACAAACTGAGGGCAGGCCCTGAACGCCCCAACCTCTGATTGACCATTCGGAATATCCAAAGAAATTGGAGCCAAGTCTTGGGCAAAATGGTCCTTCCTGTGGTTGGAGCTCAGTGTTTCCCTGTGAAATTCCTCTTTGGATAATAAAGGTTTTTTTGTTTTGTTTTCCACTATATATAAATATAAAAGACTTGCTGTTCAGCGGGGGAAAGTATGGGCACATTGACTGGTGAAAATGACGCTGGGAATGTAGAAATACATGGTGGATATCCTCATGCCTTTTGAATCAGAACTAACAAAAGATCTGAATCGTATCTAAATCTGCGACCACACTGATCTACCATGACACATCCGAGGACAAGGAATCAAATTGATCCACGGAAATATTGGAGTACAAGTTAACAATCTGTATGTGATTAACCTGTAGGCCTCTATGACGTTGAGGATGGGGCATTGGTTTTGCGATGGGGACACAAAGAAGGGTAAAGTTGGACTTTCTTGCTCCTTCTTCCTCCAATAGCATAGCAGCCCAATAGTGAAGTGCCATATTGAACATAGAAACTGCGTGGGGGATTTTATTTTATTGTTTATTGTTTTGCCACCAAAGATAAGGCATGAGCATGTCCCTCATCTTGTAGCTCGTGCTGTGACCGTGAACGTGGATCCTCACAAAGCATTCCACAAAGGCACCAAGCCGACCGACTGCGCTTGGAAAGCGAAGCACTTTTCTTTCCTTTGACCTCAGAGGTCGTTTACACGGCGGAATCACTATTGCGGCTTCGCCTTTGGTTTCCTCTTGTCTTAACCATCTTTTTAACCCGTTTTTAAATGTTACGTTTCGTTCCTATTTTTTTATACATTCTAAATGTCTATTTACTGTAAATGTTTAATGGTATTATATTGTATGTATCATGTACAAAGAGAAATGGAAAGCATCTATCAACACAGACTTAAAGAAGTGTACAAAGATGCAAGAAGCTTGGACTTCAAACAGCCCATTCACACCCTTCAGCACACACACTGACAAAATTACTCTACAAAACAAGAATGGAAAACGACTGTTGACACGTGTGTGTGGAAGCCAGCATGCCTGCTGATGTTTCTGCTCAGAGATCATGAAGCAGGCCTGGTATTGAACAGGGTTTTTAACCGGTTTTGGTCCCTGGTTTTGGGGGACCTAAGAACTGTTACAAACTGACCACATAGGACCTACAGTAACATTGTATGTGTGCAAGTGTGTATAGATGGAATATGGAGCAAGTGCACAAAGGTTTGGATGGTTTTATGTTCAATGTGAGGTTGTCTCCTCATTAGTTTCCATTGGTCTCAATTTGTGGACAGTCATCCCGCATGCCCTCAGTAGGATAGAACATCTTTAGTGGAATCCCTTGAGGTGAATGTTATTAATCAATTATCATCTTTGAAAGTGTCCAAGTGACTCTCTTTGGCTTTACAAGGAGAGGTCTCTGTTTAATTATGATCAGACCAAACCCTTGCTAGAACTGACAAGATTGTTGTGTACCCTTAAAAAAGGTTACCATACCCAAGATAAAGTCTGAAAACCTTCTCACTATTCTTTAGGGCTTAATCCAGACATGAGGTATAAGTACATTGAATATGGGGAGTGGTGGATTTATGGCAAAGTGACCCTTAAAAGTGTTTCCCAACAAACAGGTGCCAGTGCTAAACATTGGCACCAGTGCTTTCTTATACCTGCTTTACCACCAAAACATTCACTCTGGCAAGAACACAGAGTATTATCTACTAAACCTTTGATGAACCAAGATAGGAATCTACATTTGTTTGGAGCTTGAAGTGAGTTTAAGAAGAACCAATCTAAGCGTTGAGTGTCATATTTACTTATTTTTTTTGGAAGGGTAATGCAGATATACAACTGATTAACAACTTCTGCCAGCATACAATTATTTGTAATATTGCTTTTATCAAGTGTCATATATTATGACATATTCTATGACTGTTTTCCAGTGGCTTTATTGTTTTTTTTCTTTTCTTCCATCCATAAGTCCATCCATCCTGTGACCGGTGAAGAGGCAGGGTAAACATTTTGATCAAATGATTGTTGCATTGTAGTCTTCTTTGGCTTCTCCATAAATCATAAAAATATTGAATTCCAATTCAGTTTACTTATACAGTGCCAATTCAAGACAAATATTGGCATATCCACAAATGCTGGTTGATTCATATTCTACCTACAAAGAGGAGTTTTTGAAAGAATTCTGCTACCATCTAGCGGGCTGTTATAATTAGTGTTGCACCGATACTGATACCAGTATCGGACGGGGCCCCGATACTGCCCTAAAATGGCGGTATTGGTATTGGCGAGTACCAACAAATAGGGCACCGATACCATTTTGAGAGCCATAAGTTTATTCAATTATTGTCACCCCTTCCTGGTAGGCATTAAAAAGTTCTACTGGATTCACTTTGTATTAGTTTTTTTCCTGCTTCACAAAGGTAGGCAGCAGCTTGACAAAACCATGATGGCAATTATTTTACATTATTATGGTATCGGTATCGGCTGATACTGCACAGCCAGGTATTGGGTATCGGGGCCAAAAAATGGCATCGGCGCAACACTAGTTATAATTATGCCCAATTTTAATGGTCTTAATATTTAACATCTAAAACGTATATCCATTGTTTTGGCTTAAGCATCTAAGTGACTGGAAACACAATATTTAATTTTTCCTAGTTCAGGCAGTAAGAGGTTGCCTACAAAGAAAAATGATGTGATAGTTATTCAAGTACATTGGCATAATGTGAATTAAGAGCACAAAATGAATATAGGACGGTACAAACTTGGCATGCACAGGAGAAATGGCCTCAGGTTGACAGTAAGAAAAAATATTCCTTACCATAGAGGAATCTTAAGAACAAGGATAAAACCTTTACTGGAAGATATAATTTAAGAATAATAATGGCATTACCCTGAACTGGGGCTCTAGCTGCAGGAAATTGACATTTCTCTTAGTTGTCTTTTTAAAGTAACCAATTAGAAACCCACTCTAACACCCAGCTCTGGTAGCATTAGAACCACTTAGAGGAAAACCATTTAGAGGCGTGACGCTATACCTGAGCACTTATTCTACCAAGGATAACATTAGAAAAATAGCAGGGCAAAGTAACACCTTCCGTCCATTTTCATTTATCGCTTAGAAGCCATAACCTGTTGGTTGAATGAGCAATCACTGCCATTTTCCCTCCCTGTGTCTGCAGAGCTTACTGGAGTCTTTTCCAGTGTTGTTTCCATTTTGTGGCACAGTGTCATCAAATCCATTAACCAGTTGGTGTGCAACAGACTCTAAGTTCTACAGTCTAGGTCCATCATTTCCACTTATATCTGAAAGATTGTAAAAAGATAATTCACTCATCTCCATAATGACTCAAGAATCCAAAAGTTATTTCCAGAAATTAAAAACCTCCCAAAAACAAATGAATATCCCAAAACTGTCAATATCAGAAATGCTAAAAGAATTTGTTAAATAATAGATTGTGGAACCTCCTGGAGCAAACAGTGAGAACCTTTTAAAGAGTCCACTGATTTCGGGGACTCGGACTGTCAGACTAATGCTGCAGCTTTAGCAGATGATGGGGTAAAAACTGGTTCAAACTGAAGTTCCCTCCATCTGTCCGGTGGCACTATGGCAGAGGGACGCTCCGGGCGCTGAAGAGGTTCTGTTTGTTTTGCCCTCCCCTTTGTGCATTTTGTCCCAGTGACAGTCTGAGTCACCCAACCACTCCCAGCTCTCCTCCTCCTCCTCTCATGACTATGGGATCCATCTCCATCTGTCCTTTTTGCTCCACTGTAACCCCTTCATCAGCCCAAATAGCGCCTTCTCTTTTCCCTCCTTTTTATTGCATCCTCCTCTATTCCCTCCACCTCCTCCTTTTTTTCCTTTTCCACCTCACCGTTTCTCTCTGCATTCACCCTATGCATCTGAGCTCAGCAGGAGAGACGACACAGAATGAATGTCAACGAAAGGACTGTTAGAAAACATTAATGCTGTTGTTTGATTTGGAAAAAATGCAAAAACGTTCTTGTTTTAAGCTCTTTTTCTTTTTTATACTGTTAGCACCCACGTTACACGGAGTTGCCATGAATGACTGAGGGAGAGAAAGGTGAACGAATGAATTAAAGAGGTGTTTTTGCTTGAAGGACATTGACTTTCTGAACTGTGAACACAACGATTATCGGTTCTGGATGACCAGAAGAGCAGCATTCCAGATTCTCCCCTCCAGTATGGATGGAGCGTGCAGAGCAAGGAGGGAAACCTTTCATTTCCTGACTCTTGCTTAGCTTAATGTCTCTCTGATGGTGCTACTGAGTCAGAGCTCCATCTTGTGGACGAAAAAGAAAGCATCACAAAAAACAAAAACAAAAAACAAAGGGAAGACAAAAAACCCAGCCATCTAAGTCTTTCTTCCCAACACTCTTCTTACTTCAGGTATTCAGTCATTCTGGAAAGACGTACATAAATCCATTTATGATGACTAGTAAAGTGATGCTTGTTTTAAATATATAGTGAATGACAATGATACAACTATAAAACTCTGTGTTTGTTTGCCTTGTATATTGAATTATGGGCGCTGCTGCAGCGACTTCTTGGTATTTTTTGTTTGTTTTAAGATTTAATTTTTTTATTATTTCGCCTGACTTCATAGTGGAAACATGAGTTTTGTAACAAAACTGAGTGGTATACAGCAGGTACATAGGAAACAACTTGCATATGGCCTAAAATATATGTATATAACACCCAAACTTTCTCCACCAATACGCAAGGTAGATGTTCCTCAGATTTATGGAGATAAAAAAAATTAATAAATAAGAGGGGGCGAGTATAAAATGAAGGAAAAAAAGGGCGTTATTTTTGTACTGAACCCAGCTGAACTGAAGCCAACTAAAAGACCAGAAGTAAAAGGAATGGGTTCATTCCATGCGATTTAAGGACAAGACACTCGTAGGTTCATAAAAATAGGGGTTTAACAGTTGTTAGACAGTCCCTTTCCTGTTTTTGTTGCACATTAGGACTCAACGGTGTGTTTGTAAGATGGATTCCTATAAAATGAGAAGTCAGGAGCCAAAACATAGGATACAGTGCCAAACAAATAGGGATGTGATCCCTTACATATGTGAAGAGGTTTTCATTAATTAACAGCAAGAACGTGTTGCTCCACAATCAGCGGAAATGTTACCGCCACAGAGCTGCATTTGTGCAATTGTGTTTGCCTTGAATAATAAGCGTCATAATAACCAGCGAGACATTTACCGGCACACAGATCTGGACTGTATTTGAAAAAATCAGAACCAAAGAGATCTCTCTGCCTAAAGCACTAAACTAAAGAGCAAATAGAAGCAAATATATTGATGGCTTATTATAAAGTATTATGGCATATCTAATAAGAGGACTATATTAAAGATGATTCTATAATTCCAATGGAAAAAAAAATTCTATATTAAAGAGAAATGAGGGTTCATTCAAAATGTTTTATGTTTTTCATCCTCTTTTCATCTCAGCAACCATAGCTTTACATTACATGTTATTTACAGCACCCTCTACTGTTATGGTACCTCTGGTATATCATTGTTTATCTCAGTAGCTTCATTTCACACTGAAAATGTTTAGAAAATCCCACCTTTACATTAATTTCTTGGATAAGAGGGGTAAAAAAAAAATTAAAAACTAAAATTTATTAGACTCAAGTCGGGCCAATAAAAGCTATACAATTTTGGTATTTATTACTTTTATAAGTGAGTAATTGATTCAGAAAAGTAGCAGAGTGTAGCATATTTGGGCTGATAACCATTTTACAGAAGTGATGTCTGGAAAAAAGCTGTTTTTTCCCCTTCAAATCTGTAGGGACTTAAATTGGTCCATTGATCAAATTAGACTCAGATAGAGCATTTCAAAAATATTAATGATTAACGATCAATATTAATGTTGCCCAGCAATGGGCACCTTTTTCCTACTATTAACGATTTCTCATTTGTAATAATTGCATTAAGCTTTATTAGAGAGATTTGCAGAGTCTAAATCTAAGATGTATTGTTTTCCTTTCTGTTTTTTATCCTTTATTCTGCCAATAAAGGCTTGGCTGACAGGTGCCTAACACCTACATGCAGCTCCAGAGCTCTGTTGCAGACCCCAAATCAAAAGTCATCAAATGTGAGACAAAGACAAAAACCTGTTAATCTGTTTGCAAAGAGGGATTGTATTCATATTTTAAAGCAATGATGCCAATAATGGGGAAAGAACACAAAACTCCCTTTCTAGTGTGAGATTATTACGGAAAATTGCAATTCTTTACTAAGGGTGTTTATAAGTAAAAGTGGAAGGTGCTGCATTACATGAAGAAAAAGAATAAAAGGCTCACACAAAGTAAAGTCTTATATTTGTGGATGAAAGTTTCCATGGATATTTGGGATACAAATAGAACGTGAATAAAAAAAGTTTTAATTTTACCACTGAATGAATACAGAAGATATATCTGTAGCTTAAATAAAACTTTTATATGAGAGTTGTGTTTATTAACTGCGGGTGTTTTTAACAGCAAGTTAGAGGTTCACCTTTACACCAACATGGACAAAGATGAGCATGAAGGGATGTTGATATAATCCAATGTAAACTGGCCACAATTCTGGATCAATGAGGTTTATGTTTTTAGAAGGCAATATAAGTGAGGTCTACTTTATGTGTGTCCAGGTTAAGTCAAGCAAACAGGCCCCCCCCAACCAAGTGTCTCACACAGCGCTGTCGCTGTGCAGGCAGCTTCTAAAGACACAGATGTTAATTAGAAAGAAATAAAACAAGAAAGACAGACAGATTTATTTGAATGATTCTATTTTTGTTACTTCTTATTAGAAAAAAAAATGCATATTTAAAGGAAAATTCCATGTATGTATTGAATATCCTGTTTCCTGGCCCCATCAGATGGTGTAATCTGTAGCTGCAAAGTGGCGTGTCACACAAATGCTCCTCTCTGCAGCTATCCAATGCCAATGTAATGAAAAAATTTTATTATATCATTATAAATAAATTATTTTTCTTGCCTAGACTCTTGCTTTGGTCTGTTGGATTTTCCTTCTGTCCTGCAATATTACAAGGTCACT